TTTGTTTTTCTTACACTTCATCCCATATTTCAATCAGACTGAGATCCTGTTTGTTGTTAAAGCTTTAGTTAATTCGCCTTTCCTGAACAAAACACACCGACAACAGCTACGCCTCCACATTCCTTGAGTTCAGGAACTTCTTAATTAGAGGCAGACGATGTGAAAAAGGACTGCTCTGCTCTGTGGACCTACATTCTCTAAGTAAAGTGTTCAGATTCTACAAGAAAAGTGAAGAACCCTGAAATCTGAGTCACTGGCATGAAGCTCCCAAACTCAACAATGACTGTTAACTGCTGATGCTGATCCACTTTATTTTATCAACTCGCACACATTTACATTTACAAGCACATTTCATCAGTGTCGCAGGCAGACTGACTCCATTCCACACTGCAGTGATGCAGTACTTCATGCAAAAAGGAGCTGCGACCAAGTATTGAATACATGTTCTATACAGTTTATTGATATACCTTTAAGCAGGCTGACATATCTGTTTTACAAATGTCTTTGTGTTTTTAGTCGTACATAAAATTCTAATCAGTGAAATTGAACCTAGGAATTTCTTTAGCTGTAATCATCAATAATAATCAAAATGTCCAAAAATGAACACTTGAAACACACCGAGTATAAGTTTCACTGTTTGAAATAAATGACTGAAATAAATCAACTTTACAGTATTATTCTAATTTACTGAGATATACCTGGACCTAGATTTTTTGTGTTTTACAATGTAAAGGTAAATTTTAGACACAGGTGATTGTGGATTTTCCTTCAATCATTTCAACTTTAAGCTCTATTGTTAAGGTTCTGCCTCCAGTCAGTCAGTCGGTACTCTTGTGTTTTAGAAATGCAATTTAAAGGGACTTTCATATTTTCATTCAGATATAGCAATGTTTTCCCCGATACCTGATCTGATCAAAATAACAACAATGTCATTTAGATAATTTTAGGTTTAGGTTGTGCATTCAGGTGTAAAATTTACCTTTGGGTGCCATGGGCCCTGGGTCTCCCTGGAACAGATCAGAATATTTAATTTTTACAATACCTTGAAACTTCATTCTAAAAAACAAACACCTAATTGTCCCATTTACTCACCTTAAACCACATTGTTCTGCCATTGTGGTCCCGAACTGATTTCATTCCATCAACATAATAACACCGCAGCCATGCCTCGAAGGCAGAGTAGTCCATCTTCTCAGGGTCGTAGCCCTTACCGCCTATTACAGAAAATTTGTCATAAGTAGAGATTTATCTTAAGATTGTAAGGGAGAAACTGGACAGGAATTGAATCAGAACCCACCTAAGCTGACGACCTCCAGAGGAACTGTATGACAAAGTCTGAGGACATCCCCCGCCTCCCGTTTCATTCCTTTCTTTTTAGCCCTCTCTGGAGTCTTTTAGGAAAATTAACAGTGATTCATGTTAGAATAAAAAAAAAAATGCTGAAGTTTCTCAGGAAAACAAAAGTGAGCCCGTTTCTCTTCACCTTTGTGTCTGTGATCTCGTCTTTCACTGGCTTCCCGTCCTCAAATTCATCCTCTAACTCAAGGCCTTCCAGTGCGTCCCTCGCACACACAAACGGTGGGATGTTCAACCTACGACAGAAGCAAATACAGTACTGCAATTGTTCGACAAATAAAAAAAAAAAAAAAAAAAAAAAAAAACTTTTTTGCTTTGAAAATTTGAAGACATGCCCTCATACAGAGACAAAAAGCCATTCACATTGTGCGTGTATGAAACTAACATTGGAACTTGTGAAAAAATGAAAATGCGTGCTTCGTTCAGTCTGTTTTTCCAATGAACAAAGCCACCTTGTTTCTTCCAGGAAGAAGGTTGGAAGAAAGGAACCTTTCTGGATACAAAAAGATATTGAGTCTGGCACAAACCTGATTTATTGCTTTTAATTTCAATTGTTTTAAGAAATATTTTTGAATGTATGTAAATGTTACAAAGAAGCCAGCTGTGATAATTCCCTTCGACAACAAATGGAGGGAAAGTTCATCTTACTTAAACTTACTTAGTTTACTTAATCTTCCTGATTTAATTTAGAAAATTAAACATGATGGATTAATTCATTAAATGTTTGAATTTCAATCTCTGATTTTAGATGATTATAGGTCAACGCTTAGAACTATTGCTTCAAAACTGTTAATATTGCAAAAGACCAACATCATAATGGGATTTTTATTACAAGATCATTGGTCTTCTAAAAAAAAGCCCAAACCATGAGTGTCAACTCAAGGTTTGGGCTTTTTTTGCATCAAAACAGTGTGGAATGGAGGTGATCTTAGCAGTATATAATAAGTTGAGCTTGCTTTGTAACTTGGCTTACTGAAGTATCACACATTATTTTTTTATTATCTTTGATGGACGATGGATCTGCAGATTGTTAATCAGGAGCAAATTATTTGAAGAATAATGGCTAAAACTTGGTAAATATTACAGGATTGTTGTCAGAGCGGCGTTTCTTATAATCTGGATTTGTGAGCATGTTACCTCAGTGTTTAAAAACGTTCCGAGCTTACACGCGTGTGAAATATGTCATTTTATTTTCATGCATGTTCATCACCTGTACAGGATTTCAGCTCTCAGATAGTTCCCAATACCATTGAAGTACTTTTGGTTCAGCAGGACCTCACAAATTGGGCGATCAAAAGCCCGATCGCTCAGATGAGACAAGACATTCTCCCTGCAAAGACGATTGCAAAGATCAATCTGAAAGCAGGATTTGGGATAAGTTGGTGACCGGTGACATTCTTGGCATTACAAACCTGAAACTCTTGTACTCAAACATGATGCAGGGCCCTCTGTCAGGCTGCCAGGTTCCATTGGGTTGCCAGCTGCCAAACCTTCGTGTATCTACAAAGCTCAGCACTCTGCGAGGCTTCTCCTTGGTGTAGAAACGTAGATGGGCATGTTTAGGAACTTCGTCCTCTGACGTAAAGCGGAAATAACCCGACATCCCGAAGCGAAAGACTATGTCCATATGTTGATCTGCCTGTCCACCTTTTGATCGCCGCTTCCCATCATCGTCACTCTTCATGGGCGTCAAAGTCAACTTCACTTCCTTCCCTCTGGAAGTGGCTGTGATGCGAAATGAATCACAGGTGAAGGCCACTTCTGGATTTTTGCTGACTTCAGATTTTATAACCGGTCCACTAAAGACCACTCCATCGCACATTTTGTTTACGTACAGGCTGGCCAAGTGGAGTTCGGGTCCCTCGGGCATTTTGATGGAACAAATTAAGATGTGCTGCAGAGGAAGAGAATCGGATAATGGTCAATAGAGTACCTTGCAAAAGTATCCGCTGAACATTTAACCTTATTTTTGTAACCAAATAGGGATTCCCAAGTCAAACTCGAATTAGTGAATCATTATAAAATGGAAAATGTGAATCTATTTCATAGTTTTTTTAAACAAATAAAAAATATTTTGTTTTGCATTAATTTGTATTCAGAGCCCTAATTCAATACATTCTAGAATCATATTTTGCTGCAAAAACATTTGTGTTTTAAGTTCATTCTCAACCAACTTGTGTGTTTGCCCATTCTTTTTTGCAAAATAGCTCAAGCTCAATCATACTGAGTATTGTAAAGCTTGCCATAAATCCTCACATAGATTATAGTCTGGACTTTGACCGGGCCTTTCCAGCACATGAACAGGCTTTGTTCTTAGCCATTTTATTATACTTCTGGTTGTATGTCTGGGGCTGTTGTTTTGAAGGTGAAACTCTGACCCGGTATCTTTTTGAGCTTCTAGTCCAGGGACCTTCAGCTCTGGACTTTGAGGGTCAGTGTAATGCATTTTATAACCTGCTGAACAGAAGCATGCTGTCTCAACCATGTTTCTCAGTAGGGATGGTATGTTCAGAGTGATGTCCAGTTAGCCGTCTCCCACACATTGTATTTGCATGTAAACCAAAAGCTCTATTAAGGTTTTATGGTTTTCTTTCATGGCTGCACAGTGGCAGTATTGATTTGCAGCAGTACTGGGATTCTTGGCCTCGAATCCCAGTATTGCTGCATGGAGTTTGCATGGTGTCCTTGTGCACGCATGGGTTCTCTCCAGATACACTGGCTTCCTCCCACAGTTCAAAAATATGACTAGGAACAGCTTTATTCTTCACACTCATAACTGCCAGATTTGTGGAGTTTTGTTTGTTTAAGTTGTCCTATCAGCACATTATTCACATCCAAGTGTCATGTAGCTGCTTCTATAATTAATGCTCTCCAACTAAGCAGTGTTTTCCTTACACTTGTGTTGGTCTATCAGACAGATTGTCAATAAAATACAGAGAAGTTTGTCGCCGTTATAAAACTGTGGACATCAATCAATCAAGCTCACTAAAAGCAGAACTATGAGCTTTTAGTATGAAGAGTGCTTTATAAATAAAATGTATTGGTTGATTTATTGATTTGTAGCACATCTCAGCAGCAAGGTAGTTCGAAGTGCTTTACATCATAAAAGCATACACACAAAAAAAGCAAAAACTAATGTTGTAAGGCACTGAATATCATCGGTCACAATAAAACAAAACACGGAGTCCACGGATAAAAACAAACTTCAAACTAAAGCCCCCTCCTTGTGCTGAAAGTGATAGAGTGGACTAACAAATCATCCAGCAACGATCCAAAAACCTTCTGAACGAGTCAAATAAAGCTTATTTATAAATATAAAAAATAAACATCTGAAATTCAGATGCACACTAAATATTTTTTTCTCTCTTTATTTAACCCGAGCAATGCTTTCTGTGTAGTGTAAAGAGACAACAATGCATTTATTGTGGAATTTGACATACGCGTGCAACACTCACCCAAAGCAGGAAGTCGCTTCCGAGTAAAAACGGGGCTTGTTTAGAGCAGGTACATATATCTGCGATATATATTTCAACGAATATGTGCTTTCTTGTTGCTAATTTGTATAACATAAACCCCAAGACATTTGCAGCATGCGTTTGTTACCAAACAAGTTATGCAATCGCTGTCACTCCGAAATGATGAATCTCGCGAGATGTTGCTTTTTTAGTAAAGAAAAAAAATCTTACCATGCAAATTGATCGTTCTTTATCTTTTCAACAAATTGAAATAGCTTTAAAATAAATTAAGTTTGTATTTTAAGCAGTTTTTTTTATTTCTTTCTTTGCAGAAACGATACCGCAGATGAATTGTTTGCATCTAAACCAGATGCATTATGGGATATGTAGGAAATCATTGCGCAAATTTGCGTTAACTTTTTTAATTTGCTTTCTTCACAATGATGCATTTAAAACAACAAAATATATATATACAGGATTCAAACAAAATCATGTCAAAAATTATAATTATTACAAAAAAAAAAAAAAATGCCTGTCTATTTTTAGTTAAGGGATACATTATAGCCGAAAAAAAATTCACCAAATACTAGCAAAGTGGGTGAAATACACAACTAAATATTATTGCATTCAAGTAAGAAATTAAACTTTATTTTAACATGAACAAATTCAAGCAAATAATACTGTACAAGATGCAAATATGGCACTTTTGGCAGTTCATCAGCATCATTTGTATCTCGCTCCTGATCAAAGGTTTGTTCTTCATTCTTCATTGTAGTGCATTCATCATGGCCTGTGCTTGTTTGAGCTCTGTGAAGCAGACACAACATTGTTATTGCAATAAAGTAATTTTTAGAAAAAGAAAACATGATCAGAAAAGGGGTAAAAAATACAAACCAGTGAGCAAAACTCTGAACTTATCCGGAGAAATAGAGACTACTGTTGTGTCAGAGGAGCCTGGCTCTGTTCCTTGTGTCTGCAGTTTCAGATGTACCAGAGGTTCATTTACTTCTCTTAGTTCACTGGAGCTCAGAGTATAATCGATGCGCCAGGAAACTGAGTCAAGCCTTCTCACTGCAGTTCATGACAGGGCAAATTGCACACCTCAGTAAGTGCTCAGTCAGCAACTTCAAAGCAGATAGCAATCGTCATCAAAACATTTGCGTTCTATTTCATAAATAAGGGAGGCTGACAAAAAAGACTTACATCTCAAGCTGGTATCTCTTAGTTTGTCTTGAAGAGCAGAATGCTTGTCTTCATAGGACTTACAAAGACCTGTGGCATGTTCTATGGAAGTAAATTTTTTTTAATAAATAGATTTAAGGAACAGATGCATTTTTATGACAAATAAAAATCTAAAAACCCAAATAACCTTAGCATTTGAGGAAAAACAACAATAATGAATCATAAAATAATGTCTTAATGGACCACAAAACCTGATGCAGTCCAGCAGAAAAAAACATGCCAAGCACGAACCTTTAGGCAAGCCAAGTTGCTGCAGCTCACTGGACAGAGACTCACTATCAACATCATGTTTTGCAGCACTGGACAAAATAAAGCTGAGCACTGCCACAGTAGCTTTGATGTCTCCGCTTTCTACAAAAAAAAAACAAACAAAAAAAAAAAACAAGATCATAAATGCTAAATGATCATTCAGTGTTAAATGAACATACACCAGTTCTAAAGTTTTGCATTCATCACATCAAGCATGTTCCAGAGTAATAACAGGAGAAATAACATGCAATCTGATAACAGTTTTAAATGTATTGAGGGGACACATACCAAACTTTGCATCTGCAGTCAGCTTTCCAACTTTGTCATACTGCAATAAGAAAGACAGCACATAGAACTGTTAAGTCTCATGTATAATATATATATATATATATATATATATATATATATATATATATATATATATATATATATATATATATATATATATATATGATTATGAGTAAGTGTATCTAATATCTTACATCTATACCCTCGCCCAGTAAATCCTTCAACACTTGAGCACAAAGGAGTTTCATCTTCACACTCGACTGTATAAAAATGGAGTAGAAAATTAGCATTTTATATTACATTTCCTGAGCAATCCTGAGCATCAACTTAGCTACTTACAATCTTTGCTAATGTGCTGATTTCGGCCAGAACCCAATCTGGGCAGTCAAGATCCCCACAGAACCGGAACCGCTGCAGAACACAGACAACCGAATGAGTTGTTGTTCGGCAACAAACAAGATGTACTTACTGTGACAACAGCAGGTTTGTATCACGGGATGCTATTGTTATTAGCTTAGCATGCTAGCTACATGAAAGCTATCTTAAATGGCAACTCTGCTCAGTTGACTTAACTAGCATTAAAATCGGTGAAAAACATACAGCGCCGACGTTTCTGCTAATTTAGCTAATTCATAAATACAAAGCATTTTGTAAAAATAACAATAATCATGAATGGGTTATTACCATTTGAGTAGCTCACTGGACGGACAGTCGTTTCTGTTCACTATGACGTTTCAAAACGTGACACGTGATTCTTCCGCCGTCAATTTCAGCACTACCCTGTATACTCCGTAACGTGAGGTAAAAATATTGTATTTATTGAAATAAGATTACCGCAGATTAAAATAATTTAACTTGGACAAAACGTCTGTTTTTTATCAGTCAAGAGGTGACTCAATGTGATGACTGTCATTGTTCTTAAACGTTTGTGACGTTTAAGAACATGTCTAGTTTAGATATCTGAATACATTAAACTGCGGCCCTGTGATTGACTGATTTGCCTTTTGCGTTAACAAGCATCTGACGAGTCATATAAATGGTTTTGGAACGTTTTAATTCTTTCCTCAAAAATACTATTGGGCATGCTGATACCATACGACCCGAGGGAATTCTCCAGGAAGACAGCTAAACAGTGAGTGGATAGAATGATGTTGTACAAAGTAGAAATTAACATGACTTGTATTTTGGGCTCTTGTTAATAGCAACCCTGATAATAATGTCAAAATGTTTGGTTTGCTCAATAATGTATTCACTTTTCGATACCTTCATTGGTAATCTACAATATTAAGTGTCAATGAAATATATAATATGTTTGTTGTGACTTTTTTACACTTATATGTTGTTCAGTATATTTTGCATGATAAGTGACTGATTTACAATTATATGTTAAGCATAATTTACATGATGATTATTATTAATTGAATTGAACATGATAATTACAAAAGTGAAGTGAAATATATTTAAGTGCCAGACATGATTTTATTTTGAAGAATGCTTAACATGATCTGGTTCTGTTTTGTCACCATCTTGCTTTTGTTGATTTTGGTTGCTAGGTTACGAACAGCTGTTGACGTTATCAGCTGTTGCCGTTTTTCTCTTCAATAATAACTGAACAGAAAGGTTCAGTAAAAGACTTACGAGCCTCTGTCTCGTTTGAAGAAGCTTTACTCCGTAACAATGTTATTTTCACCCTGTCTAAAGCTCCTCACATTTTGGGAGGATTGTTTTAGGACCTGGATGCCAAACTACAGTATGTACAATAATGTATGGAGTGACTATAAAAAAATGAGAGACTTTGTTCACTGAGAGCACAACAGCATTTATTTTTCTTCTTTTGTTTCCTCAACTCTTCATGGAGCTCTGCCATCTCAGTGCTGGTAGCTGCTTCCTCCTGAAGGAGATCCAGTTGTTCTGACGGTTCTCCTCATTGTTCACCATCATGTCAGCCATGTTCCTCTTCTTCCGTTCCCTGGGAAAAGTAATGAGGTGTTATAGCTTATAGGACATAAATGTAAATAAATAACAGCTACTGAGGTGGAAGTGACATACACAGAAGGAATTATTTAAAACAGACATGCTACTTTATAAGTAAACACTTGTATTTTTAGAAAGCAGGTCAGCCCCGAAAAAAAGCTAGTGGAAAAGCTTGGAAAGCGAGCCGAGTAGAGCCGAGCCGAGCTGGTGGAAAAGGGACATATGTTTCTTGGGAACGCTTTGGGATTCCCCCGGAAAAGCTGGAACAAGTGGCTGGGGAGAGAAAAGTCTGGGCCTCCCTTCTTAAGCTGCTACTCCTGTGTCCAGACCCCGGACAAGCGGAAGAAAATGGAAAATGCATGGATGGATGGATGAATGGATGGATGGATGGATGGATGGATGGATGGATGGATGGATGGATGGATGGATGGATGGTCCTTAATACCAAAAACAATGTGTTTGAAAAATAATAATAAAAAAATAAAAATAAAACAGCATAGTTTTCAGTTTTGCCAATGCTCTTTTGTTGGAGGGGTTGAATCTCAAACCAGTGCCAGAGCAGCTAACTCCATGGGTCCCATTTGGTTTTCTAGTAATAACATTCCATGGCTCAGCTGCTTTCTGAAAGCTCTCTCAATACATCATATTCATTGATCACAAACCAACAGGAGTGTGGAAAACTTTGCAGCACAGCATTCTATCAAATGTATTACAGCAATAATGTGAAATCGAAAACAATGCATATAAAAAAAGGACAGTTTATTAAATTATTCCGAAATTTAGAAAGACCAGAAAAGGCATTTTAAACAGTCAGTAATCATGGATGGATGGATGGATGGATGGAAAGACTGACTGACTTTTCCACCTCTGACTCAATTCTGGAACTCTGGCCTTCAGTTGTATCGTCTGAATGGATAAATGTTTTGTTCCTTACTTACTTTTTGTAAATTATCAGTTTTTAACAATGGCTTAACTGGAAATGAATCATTGTTGACTTAAAGTAAAAAAAAATAAAATAAAAATAAAAAATCCTGATAAACTGTAACCTCCTTATTCCCAGACAGATTACAAGCATTAAGCTTAGTCCTGCTGACTCAACTGTCAGGTTTTATGTATTGAATTAGATAAAAATGTCTCACACTTTGTATTATTTTTCTTTACATGAAACTCACATTTTAAAATCATTTAGATTTTAACTTTGACCTTAATTGTAAGTTGTGTATTACAACCAATGTTTCAGTTCACAAGTAAAACATGCCATCAATTTCTGACAGCTTTATTTCTTAAAAAATACACAAGAAATAAACTCTAGTTTACATATGCACTTCCTCTACTATCACAGCATGTGCATTTTCTCACCACATACACATAAATTCCCAGAAATCAGAAAAAAAATAACTTTTACAATTCATTTTCTTTTTGTAAATTAAATAGGT